CAGTACTATTTGAAATGCCTTTGGGTGTCCCTTGATGTTTCTGCTCCAGCCCTGGTGGGCAGAGGACTCCCGCAGGGCCAAGATAACTCTGAAGTCCTGTGCAAAGCCTCAGATGACACCAGATGCTTCACTGCAGGCTGCTGAGAACATCCAGTAGAGGAAGAGTTATGGGGGTGGGGGGGTGGGGGGTGTCAGGGCGAGCTGGGGAGTTGTGGCTGCCTTAAATCAACCGATTCTTTGCAACTGTCAGCTTGACGCTTTTATGTCACGCCGAGGGCCGCTCCTCAAGCGTGGATACACAGGGAGTTGCTAGCTGTCAGTTCCCACTTTCCCCAAAAGCAAAGAGACTTCCAGTTCACACCCCTCCCCGCATCTCGCGCACTGCCTGCAGCCAGAAAGGAAGCACCTGCAGAGGTGAGCATCGAGGTGGTATTTTAATCTGTTCAAGACAGATGAGGAGAGCAGTCCTGGGCAGAGCAGGTTTAGAAACGAAAACAGTTTTTCTGCCTAAGCCTGGCCCTGGTCAACATGTGCGGCAGTTTGTAAAATTAATTACATATTGAGCAGGTAGTGGAGTGGGAAGTAGCTGCAGGTGGTGCGTGTTTTCAGTGTCTGCATGCAGCAGAGACAAGTCTGGATCCTCCTTTGCATGGTCAGCTGCCTGGACGTGGGGGCTGTTTGGTTTGAGATAGGCACACCGGTTGGTTTTCTTTGGGGATGTAGTTGCTGTTATTAATGACTTTTACAGTGACCCAGATTTATAGCATCTCATTTTAAATTTAAAGTCATTCAGGAGTATCCTAAATATCCTAAACACAGGGTACTCCAAAATAGCTTGAAATTTATAATGAGAAACAACAGGGAAGGAAGGAAGCCCCCTGGAATGATTGATAGAGCTAAAATCTCTCTTCTAAAATTCAGTATGAATTTTGAGAAAGCAGGCAATCCTCAAGGAAGTTGAAGTTGAGCTGCCATACACTCCTAGAATTTCAAGCAGACGCGGGGTTGTGAGAACCCAACGTTACCTGGTTTTATTTTATAATCCCACCTTCGCTCCAGCCTGGGTTCATCGCTCATCACCACTGAGCAATGCTACGGATCCGATCCCAGACTGAGTGGATTTTGGGGCCCAGTGTTATAAAATGTGAAAGAAACGTGGGTCTCCATTTAAAAAACAAACAAACAAACAAACAAAAAACAAACAACCCAAACAAACAAAAAAAACCCACAAAAACAACCCAAAGAACATGTTTGTCAGCAGTTACCACTTAGAGAGATCTGAGATTTGGATAACTGGCATTTATAGGATTCAATTCTCCCAGGTTTTCAGCGCTTTGGCCCTGATCCAGAAAAACACTTACACACATGTTGTAGCCTTAAGAGTGCGAGCTGTCCCCCTTCGAGTTGTCGTCGTGTTGTACGAGTGGGCAGGCTCCCAGAGCAACTCAACCCACGACAACTTTTAGGTCTGAAGCTTGTCCCTGTGTGGATGGCAGCACCACAGCCCCAGCGCAGCGTTACGGAGCCGGCGGCTTTCTCATGAGCTCTGTGGCATTTTGCAGCACGTGCCTTCACATCCCAGTTCCTGAAGCCGTTCAATTACACGACACCCTCCTCTGCCTTTTTATTTTCTCTACAGAAATATCGAGGCCATGTGTTTCTGGTGAATACCCTCAAAAATTCCACTTAAAAGAGAAAAAAAACCTCGACGCAACCCAGAAAGGATGTTTAAAATAACTCATTTCATCTTTACAATGCAGACAAAATGCAGTCCACTCACTCTGAACCAAAAGCAAATAAAAACAGCTCACAATGCATACCATTGTTATTATTTTTATTATTATTATTATTATTGTCACTTTTATAATTAGAAAACAAAGCTAATGCTGCTTCCCTGAACAGCAGGTAACTTTCGCTCTAGATGAATAAACCGCGGCTCTGCTGAGATATTTAATCAAACTCTGTCTGACTGATGAAACTGGTCCTGAGGGAAAACCAAACCAAAACAAAACATGTTGTACATGTTAAAGTCATTAATCTCAGGTGGATTTTAAGTTTCCTGTTCTTTCTCTCCCTCTCCCAAATCTTCCTTTCTGCTCCGTCTCCCACATGTAGAGGACAAAGTCATTCCTCTCCTGGCTCCCATCTGCTCTTGGAAGCAAAGTGATAGTGTTTCACGACCCTCTGCCTGGTGCAAGGAGGGCGAATCCTTCGTGGTGGGGTGGTGGTGGTGTTAAGGACAAGCAATCCCAGGGCTGAATTCTCCTCTTGCTCTCCAGAACAGGTAGCCTGGAGCTGGGCAGCTCAAACCCAGCTCCCTTGGAGGATGCTAATGGTTGTCTACAGGGATCTGTTATTTAGAAAAATGGAAGGTCCCTCAGGGTCTCTCACCACTTTCCTGACAAATGCACTGTTAATTATATTCAGATTTTGGCCTCCTTTCCCCACCCCCCTTCCCCTCAGCTTTTGAGGCTGCACATGAAACACTCGTGGGCTGCCTGCTTTAGCATCATTAAGATATTTCCCGTTCTGCAGACTAAACTAAACAATCGGATGGGAGTTTTCTATAATGAATGTAATTTGCCTACCTTAGGGAGCAACTTAAACAATATAACACTGGAAGGGGGTGAGGATAGGGGGGGAATTAATCAAAAAATAGAAAGCCAGCTGGATGCATGCAAGATCTAAATCCTCAGATTTGGAAGCAGCATTAAGTCCAAACTGTTTTATTAAATCACAGATTTTTTTTTTTTTCAAATGAATAAATGCTACAAAGCCACCGATATAAATGCCCTTTTCCCTCAGGGCTAATAGGGTAATATTTTGAAATAATAGCATTTATGGGAATATATCTCAGCTGTATTTTCCCAGCTAGTGTAAATCAACAGAGCTGTGTAGTAGAACATGGAGCTGGACTAAATTATACCAGCTGTTAGGATCTGGTAGGGCATAAGAGAGGGAACTGCAGCATCACCTCACAGAGACATTCACAATAATTAAAGCTATTTCATTCAGAAGGTGAAAGACCTCAGTGTTTCGGAGCAAAGCCTTGAAAACTGGTTGGTGAGGGGCTGGGGTAGGAAAGGAGACTGGTACCTGAAGGTCTTGTCCTGCCATCAGGGATATGTTTTCCTTGCAAAACTGGTTTGTGACAAGTGTTGTCCCAAATATTTTTCAGACCACACACACAGAGAGAAAATAATTTGGCAGCTACATTTTGGACTCCTGTTGTATCAAGAATTGCAGGTGAGAGCAAGGACACTTCTGGCCTCTCTGTGCTTTGCTGCTGATGCCAGGATGAAAGCATCAGAGCCAGGTTGAAAGGAACAAGATGCACCGTGGGTCATTCTACCAGTATGGTCCCGTGTTATAGACTCTCTTCTTATTCCTAGTTTGTACTAAAAGGAAACAGAAAGCACCGTCTCCCTCTCATAGAAAACTGTTTTCTGAAAAAAAAAAAAAAAAAAAAAAAAAAAAAAAAAAAGAAAATGCCAGAGTGTCAAGAGGGAGATGACCCTAATTTGCTGGATGAAGCAGGGCTGTGTAACAAGGAAGGCCCTGTCCATGACTCAAGGCACATCACCCTGGGTACAAGGTTAACACAGGGTCCTGCTGCTCCGGAGAAGGGCACTGAAACTTAGAAATTATGGGAAAAATGGTGACCAACAGCCTAGGGCATGGGCTGCGGCCACACAGACTCTTCTCGAAGAAGCAAAATTCAGATGAAGCCCATGATGGATTATTTAGACGAGGCAGCAGAACTTTTGAGCCTGGATGCCCCGAACTGCAAACCTCCAAACACTGCACCCATTTAAGTTCAGCATTTTCAGTAACAGACAGACGTGGTCAGAGGCAGACACGAAGCATGAAGTACCACCGCGGCTAAAGCTCTGCTGAGGGGTCATCTCCCACCGGATGGACCTGCAGATGCCTGGTAGGCTTACTCACATCTTTTCATGCTCTGCAAAGTTATGCTTTCTTCTGACATGGGGAAAAGCAGCTGAGGAACACGGGCCCAACACCGGAGGAGTGAAATGCAGCTGAAAACAGTGTGCATAGAGAGCATTTCTTCCATCTCATTATTTTTTCACCAAGCAGAAAGACTCAGGACATCAGCAAGGGAGCAAGAAAAAGAATCATTACAGAATAGCATTGAAATGCTCGACTTTTTCTTCACTCAGAACATCCCTGCCTTGTTGGCTTCATCAGAAACTGGAAATAAAAATAAAATTCCTTAAAAGAATGAAAGTAGACAGTTTCTTTACATATCAAACGAAGCCAAATTCTGGCTTTGGAGAGCAGTGGGATTTGTGCCACCAGCCTGTCTGCATGTCAGCCTAAAGACACCCACCGCTCATCACACCGCACTGCAGAGATGTTTTAGTCCACCAACTTTTATGGGGTGACAATAACACAAACCACTGACAAACTACCAAAGGCCTCTTTTTGCATGCTCGTGGCTGGGGGAGGGAAGGAGGCGAGGAGACCAAATCCATTACAGCAAAGCAAAGTAGCTGAGGAGAACAAAATATCTCTAATTTCTCTCTATAGTCCATGATGTTTTTCTCCTCTAGCTCCCCAGGACTACTCACACACGTCAGAGGCAGTTGCCTCCTAGAGAGTGGTTGGGTGGGGAAAAATAAAGGATTTGGAGGAAGACTATGGTGTTACAGACATATTTCCCCTAGGAAAGTGCCACAGTCCCACCACATCTGTGTAGGAGTGATTTTCTGTCTGCTTACAGCATTTCTCTTGGGGAATGGGGTGCCCAAAAAATGATCTGAGGGACTTCACAGGCTCTGCTGCCTTCTGCTGCCGGAGCAGACATCCTTCTCCAATGTCACCGTTCCTAACAGGGACACAGAGCTAGTCGTCCATTGCAGAAAAAAAAAAAAAAAGCTAGAAAGGGAACCTAACCTAACCTAAAACCTCCCTTTGCTCCAACTCCTCTCCACACGCAGGACTGAGGAGCAAACCACCCATGAGAGGTATTAGTCACATTTGTTATTAAGTTCCTCGGGGGCACTGGGATATTTTACGGATGAGAGTGATCACTGATATAAAAAGCAAAACAAGAACAGTGACTCTTCCTTTCTCCAAGTGCTCTGTTTCATTGTCTTGACTGTATCTTGGCTAATTCTGCTCAAAATGAAGAGGCTGGGGAGACAGGGAATAAAAGAACTTATCTATCCCACGCCAGTGAGTGCCTCGAGCCATGCTCTTCTCCTGTCCTTGGGAGGAAAATCGGGGTTGCTTTCCAAGTAGGAGAGTGAAACATAAAAATCTAACATTTTGCTGTTGCACCAGTAACTTCAGCATTTATTTCATACTATTGTTAATGCTCGTTTATAATATATAGATATATTTACGTAGAAAGTAGAGAGTAGACAAAAGCGCGAGATATATCTTATAAATATTTCTGTATGTCCGCATAAAAAAAAAAAAATAATAAAAAAAAAATATGTACAGCCACAGATAGTGGTTCTCTGCTGTGTCAGGGCAGGGCCACGTGCAGGACTGGCACGTTCCCATTCCCTTTTGCTGGGAATAGCTGCTGCCCTGCACGACTGCTTTCCCTACAGCCAGGACCAGACCCGCTCTGCTCTCTGCAGTTTCTTGGGGCTGGTTCAATAGTTTTGCTGGGGCAAAAGAGTCAGCGGCATATTTCCCTAAGGACTTGATGGCCCAATGTGGCAGAACTTCGGTGCCAAAGGGCATCACACCCAAAGGGCAAGAGAGAAAGAGAGCAGGAGCTGGATTTCTTTTTTTTTTTTTACTTTCCCACTGCATTTTGAGTTCACTTTGTTATTTTAATCTAATGACTGCACTACAGTCTCGTGGACCCCATAAAGTCCTTCTCAGGGTACCCTACTCTCACTGCCTCTGGAATCCCAGGGTTTGGTTGTTGGGTTGTTTTATTTTTGCATGGCTGAATGTGAAACCCCATCCAGCCTGGATAAATCAAGGACAGCTTTTCCTGAAGCAGTAACTTCAAAATCGCAGACCTGTGTAAAAGAAAAGTCAAAACGAGTTGTTCATTTCAGGGGATTGACCAGAAATCTTTCCACCTTTATCATCCAGAGGATGCGTCCCTGCTAAAAATTAAGTCTTTGGCAACAAAGGCAGTTACTGATGAAAAGTTGTAGTGTTTTCCCTTCTGGGATGGTCCTAATGCAGACTCAGTACCTGTGCTAGAAGGCATAGGCAGGTGTGAGCCTTAGTTATTTTCAAACAAGAGTTGATTTTCTTCCCCGGGGAAAATTTCTACTTTTGTTTCTCAAAATACTCAGGCACTTGATGGCCGGACGTCATTGGCAACCATAGGGAATATTTTGGAAGAAGATACCATCCCAAATGACTTTTTTGTCTTCTCAGAGAGCATTTTATTGGAGAGGGGAAACATTTGTGGGTTTGTTTGGGGGTTTTTTTAAGGGTCTTATTTTTACTGGCGTGATGTTTTGGTTTTTTGTTTTGTTTTTTTTTTTTTTTTTCCCTCCTACCATCTTTCTTCGAGTCTGTGTCTTTACAAGATAAACGATGTCTAGTCAGGGAAATGTTTTCTCTTCTCTGAATAGTGCTGGGGTGCCGCTGGCGTCTCAGCTCCCGGGTGGAGAGGGGAGGGTTTTCATTTGCACACATATCTCTCGACAGTCCTCTCGCACTTTTTACAGGTTACGTAGCAGCACCAGTGGTACTTGCAGTGGCATCGCTCCACCACTTTGTCCATGTAAGGGTTGTAGCCTCTGCCGCAGCACATCAAGTCGCAGCTGTCGCTCCCATTGGAGGTCTTGTTACATTGCCTGGAAGAAAGAAAGCGATGTGAGCAAGCACAGATCCCTGGGGGGCTTTTCCCAACCCCTTGTCCTGTGGTGGTGCTGGAGCCTGACGGCTCTGCAAGGCTCAGCTGTGGCAAGCTCCTGGCAGGGAGAGCACCCAACCAAGCAGCCCTCGACAAGGGCAAGGGAGGCAGGGAGAGCACCCAGGCTGCACTTAACATCACCTGCTCTAGTGCCCAGGATTGTACTTTCTCTGGCATCCAAAATAACATTAAACCCCTGTTCTGACTCTCAGTTGGGGCTCAGCAGCACCCAGGCTGCCTGTCAGCCAGGACTTAGCTCCCATACCAGCAGACAAGCAAAGCAATCGTGATATCTTCACCAAACCAAAAACTTGTAGTGACTAGCAGTCTGTATTCCCAGGCAGGCTCCAAAGCTGTCTGAAAGGAGCTGGAAGAAGATGATATCCTAAAGGACAAACACCGGTGTTTGCCCAACACTACCTAACCTGTAAAGGATGGAGGAGGAACCCTGCAGCCACGGAGTATTTGAACAGGCTCTGTGCCAATGATCCCGGGCTGGGAAAGCTCCCGAGCAGGCTGTTACAGCCACTATCCAGCCCTGAACCTACCAGGGAAATCACAACTGATACTAGCAGGGCCAGACTCTGCACTGTCCCCCTCCGAGTGTCTCCCAGCACAGCATGACCAGCTGAGGAGCTGGTCCTACAACACCCCCAGTCCTGACCCAGGAGCAGGCAGCACGGCAGGAGCACAGTGTAGGATGACAAGTGGCCAAATATCACACGGACCTTCACTGCTTGTTTGGTTTCTGCTTTTAATTAAAGCCAGACTCATCAGGATAAGCTGGCCATTGTGTGGGGTTCCCTTGCTTTGTCTGCTTGCAAGTTGCTGGCTTGAGTTTTTCAGAAGTAACTCGTGAACTGGGGAGTCTCTTCCATTGATCCATTGATCATGGATCCACTGCCATTCTCAAAAAATCTCCTTCTCCTAAAACACTCCAAATTGGGTCACTGGACATGTGAGCACAACAGATATTGACTTTTGGATGAGAAGAAGCATTTCCTAGAGATGTTGTTTCTCCATGGGCTGTAAAGATAGCCCAGGGTGGAAGTGTTCATATTTGGTCAGATGCTTGGCTGGACACTAGTGCTGTCTGACAGATCTCGTTATGCATCCAACACCGTGGGGCTGTGAACTTGATTGAGTCTTGAAACTACTGTAAGAAAGGCAGTTTGGAGAGTAGGGGAACTGCCGACATCTCTCCTAAATCTTATTCTGCATGGTTCTTTTTCACAGAAAGACTCTGAGGCTGGTTTGGGGCAGGGAAAGGAGAGAGGAGCATGAGTCGGACTCTCGAGCTGAGCACTCCATTAATAGATGAAAACAAATCCATGAGATTTATAGGAATTCCTCATGAGGTAATGCTTTAGGAGAAGTTGCGGGATTAATGAGGTGTTGAGATTTTGTTCTTGTTCTTCCTTTATTTTTTTCTGACTCAGGCGGGCCTCCTGTTTGTTATTTCTGACTCGCATTCCTCTCCAGGTTCAGTGTTTAAAGGCACCCCCCCTACTCCCCCTCATTCGGGAGTGTGTGTAAATATTTATAAACCTTTGAAAGCCTCTACCGAAGCCGAAGTCTGCAACCACACTGAGAGTGTTTGCCTAACGCTGAACCAAAGGCGTTGTTACTGCCCCTGCAAGCCAGGGCCCCTCCACCAGGAAACCTCTGAATGACTCCTCATAAATGTATTAGTAAATGCATTAAATATTCAGAGCAAAGGTTCAAATATAGGCATGTTGACATTAGAAAAGGGGAGGGTATTTGACAACCTTACTCAGCTTCATCAGTGGATGGAAAGGTTGTTGCCTGGAGGTTCACCTAAGGAGGGTGGGGAGTCTGCAGAAGCATGGTGATGGGTGTGCAGTGCATCCGTGCCACCTCGTGATGAGAGCTCATTAGAATGGCCGAGAAAAAGGAATACGGGTCCGCTCTGACTCCACCGTTGAGGACATTGACTCCCCAAACGTACAAAGGACCCGACAGCCAAATTTACCCCATTCAAATAGACTCTTCTACCTGCTGTATTTGGACCTGGGAATCTCCCTTTCTTTGCACCCACTCCTGTGGTTTGCAAAAATACAGTGGATCTACTAGGAGATATACCTTTCCATAGCTGTCCCCATCCCGACCAACATGAAATAAAGACAGGAAAAAACAAAAATCTTATTACAAAATCCTCAAGCTTCCCTCAGTTTTGGACAAATGGACACGGATATTCTAGATGCATGGGTCAAATAGTTGAAGTTTTTGATCCCATCCTGAGCCTAAATGGACTTCTAGAAAACTTCCCTAACAATGCCACTAACCACAGATGGTTTTTTCTGTTTTAAAGCATAGCCCTGGATGAATTATCTTTTTCTTTTTTTTTTTTTTTTTAAAAAAAACAGCTGCAGTAGAGGTAGATTCTCAGGTTTATCTATGCATACAAAAAGCGAGTGGGCAAAAGCAAAGGAGCCCAAAGACCAGAGTTTACCCACAGAAGCTGCCCCTGAGCATCTGCTTTCAGAGCCCGTGGCTGCAATCTCACCAGGCTCCCTGCTGATGGGTTAAGTTCAATCTCATTTGTTTTGGGACCGGTCCAACATGATTCCAGCAACTCAGAGAAATGCCCTCCTCCTGAGCCTCGGAGAGAAAATACGAAGGCAGGCGATTGCATCTTAACACAACACTGTAACCTCTAGAAGCACTTGGAAGACGGGTGAAAAACGATGCTTCAGCCGTAATCCCGGCCAAGGCTCTGGCTCGGGAACAGGCTTTCATATTGTCACAGCGCTTTTTGCTTCTTCATGCAAGAAGGGAGGAGGTCAGCCCTGCTGACTGCACAAATCCCACTCCTATGCCTGTCCAAAACCTCCCCTTTCCAGCCCTCATTTGCAGGAACACTGCGGTGCATCATACAGCCTCATCATGGGGGTGGCTCCTCGGCAGAGATGGTGAAGGACATCCCAGCACTTCTAAGAGATCCATCCCAGCACTTCTAAAGGAGGCGAAGCCATCTCACAGATACCTCGGGGGGGATTCTCATTTTAAAAGCTATGAGTAGATGTCACGCTTCATTTCATTGTGGATACCAGTTCATTTCTGTCCCATCAGCACCTTTCTAGGAGAGATTTTTTTTTTTTTTGGTTGCCCCGCTGGCATCTGAGAGCCAAACGGAGGCCATCTCTGTACTGTGTCACCCCCAATAACGACAGATGATGACAAGGGTGGGTCATATGTCCACTGGGGCCTCACTCCATCAGTCCTACTGATAAGTGGGAGCTGCTTATGAGCACATAGGAAAAGTCATTCTGGGTCACAGCTTGGCCCATTACTCTGCAATGGCTGTGGGAAATGCTTTTCAGGGACGAAAACACAAATCTGGACACTTTCTGTAGTCCATCCCCTCATACCCACCAGCACCTGGGCTGGTGTATCAGGGATGACAGAAGGTATATTCCTGCCTAGACATCTTGGTATTCCCCTGTGGGCATGCTGGCCATGGGTTTGCCTCATCCCTTTCTAACCTCAGGGAAACCCTCTGCCTTCATGAACTCCAGAAGCCACAAGTCCCAGTAGACAGTACTGCTGTGTAAAGAAGTAATTTATTTTTTCTCCTTTAAATCAAATTCCTATTCATTTCTTTAGTGCCCCTTGCTCTGGTAATGTCAAGTTGGACAGCAGTATATAAATGAAAGAAAGAGAAAAATAATTCAAATCCCCCAGGAGGTATGTAACACAATGGACATGGCTAAAAATACATCAAAGTGCACAGCTTCATGTAAGATTTTGAGGGCAGAATCTTAACTACTTTTAAATTACTTTCTCATCCACAAGGAATGACTAGAGACTGACACTGAACAACTGTACGAAAGAGAGTTATCAATAGTACATGTCAGCAAGGAGATGTCAAGGGAGATCCTGGAACCAGCCTGTATTTTCATTAATGAGGAGTAGAGAGTGAGCTTAAAAATTTGTGGATAACCCTGAGGCAAAAGGAGCTGAGAACATTTTGTGAGAATAGATTAAAATGCAATGTAAGGAAAATACTTTCAAAAAGATCCAGATAAATATGGGAATGTTCCCAGGGGAATCAGAGAAGCAGTTCAGAAAGTGGGAAAAGATGAAGGAGCTGATTTAGAAATGTTTGTAAGAAGAGGTGCCTTCCCATCTATAAAAGATTATCTTACAGAGAGAGAAATACTCTTTATATAAAGAGGAAAGAGGACAAGAAATTATTACTTTGATTTCAGATTATGATTAGTTTGAATTCAGATTAAGAAAAACATAACATCTTTGTTGGGGACATGGACAGAGGGGCTGAGCCCACCCTCAGCCCGTTCCCCCCGACCCCGAGCTGTGTGGGGCGGTGACACGCTGGAGGGAAGGGATCCATCCCGAGGGACCTGGGCAGGCTGGAGAGGGGGGACCCTCTGAACCTCAGCGAGGGCAACAAGGCCGAGGGCAAGGTCCTGCCCAGGGGTCGGGGCAATCCCAGGCACAAATCCAGGCTGGGCCAGGAGGGGCTGGAGAGCAGCCCCAAGGAGAAGGACTTGGGGGGCTGGGGGTGCAAACTGCCTGTGAGCCAGCACCGTGCGCTGGCAGCCCAGAAAGGCCCCGTGTGCTGGGCTGCACCCAGAGCAGGGGGGGCAGCAGGGCCAGGGGGGGATTCTCCCCCTCTGCTCCGCTCTGGGAGACCCCCCTGCAGGGCTGGGTCCAGCTC